ACCTCAGACAAATCAGAACTCTGTGCTTTTTTTTTTAAAAAATCAAAAAAAGGGGATATTTTTATGTCGTTCCTCCAGTGGTTCCTTTGTTTTTCTGTCTTAATGTGTATGTCTGTGTGTGCTTTTGCCGTCAGGCTCAGCCGTCACCTACTCTGCATACGTGTTCCCAGACAGATGGGTGGGTGGTGTATTCCACCAATACTATGTTTCCGTGGCAGTATTTAACACGGTAATCTGCACCGCCCTGGCCTGTTACTCGAGGTAAAGAGGCCCTGATTATCTGTGTGCTTGTCCCCCTCCTTGTTTGGCCAAACCAATACCAGTGTCAGAGTACCGTCCATTGCAGAGGGCAGGGGGCCTTGCTTGCTGATTCCATTAATTAAGGAGTGCCTGTAAATGTAGCCTGCACTTTATCCAGTCAACGCTCATCTGCTGTTTCCTATGCAATCCAAACTGATCCTGTGTCAGGGCTGGACTGGTATCAAAAATCGGACCTGGAATTTCTGCTCCCTCCTCAATAACTTTTGCTAAGCAATCAGTTTTGCCAACTCACATACCTAAAATACCCCAAAATGCCCGATATGCCAGATGGCCGGTTTAGCCCTGCCCTGTATTCATTTGCACAAAGCTGGTAAACTAAAACTTCCTGCTGTAAACTCAGCCTCTCGGGGTTAATAGACTGAATGTTAAAATGTGTCAATGTTTTTCTGACCTTTTTAATGACTTTGCATTGCTGCATACTCACTGCTCTCTTCCTCTCAACTGCTTCTCTCAAGGCTTGGCTTGCCATTTCTGCAATATAACCGCGACACTGTGAAAAGGTAACCAGCGGCTTGCTTGTGCTTTCATGGAGCCTGGTGCTCTGCTAACTAACCCTGAATCCGTGGGGATTGGAAAGAGGGTCAGGCTTTTTAAAATGCATTTTTGATTTCTGCTGAGAAATGCTTTGTTTTGGTACATTTATTTAACAGTATGCATATAGACGTTTATACCTGTTAATATTGTTTAGAAAGCAAATGGATATGCATAAATTAATTTATGTGATATAGTTTTTGCTCATTACTATACTGTATCGCAAGCGCTAGTCTTTAAGCAGCTTTGAGTCAAGCTGTGAAAGTTTTTTACTCTTTATTGCACATTTAAGTGAACATAGAGTTAATATACTTTCATTACGCAGTGCCTCTAATTATGAAGAAATCCCTTGAATCCAAGCCATAGCGTTAATTTAAAAACCAAAAAATTGAATTGTACAGATAGATCACAGGAAGAATAACCAGGAATGTTTCACAGTCCTAGTGCACAATCACATGCAACTTCATTGCGCAAATGAGACAGATCACATTCATCCATCCCCCCAATAAATAAACCTTTGTATTTAAATTATTATGTTGTGTCTCCCCCATCATCAAACTATGTCCTATGCCATTGTGTACTGTAGTATGGATTATTCTGCTGACATGCAGTCTATTAGAAAGGTCATATCAGAAAGCACAGATGGAAATGATGAGATGAAAGTGTAACTGAAAATGCTGAAATGAAACTCTTTCTGGCAGATTCACTGAGCTCCAAAGTCCAACTCTGGGCAAAGCAGTGCGAGTTCTGGCCTTTGCGTACCCGTACCTGTTTGACAACATCCCTCTGTTTTACAGGGTAGGTTACACACATTTTGGTCTATATATGTGTGGGGGTACAGTGAGTAAATACATGCCAGTTTATAAATTCCAGAATGCAGAGGTAACTGAAATGTAGTCTGTCATGGCTGCATGATTCATATGTACAGTTTTACCAGAGGTTGATTATTTTGAACTGCTATCCTTTCCGCAGATATCCGTGTGCATCGGTGACGACTGCACAAACAATGAGACCAATGGCCTGCACTATTGCCACATCACCTTGGCCTTCCTCACCGTCTTCCTCTTCATCACACACCTCCCTGAGCGACTGGCGCCTGGGCGTTTTGACTACATCGGTGAGGATACCACATCCGGCTGTTATTTAGGGGCACGGTAGTTGACTGAAGGACAGACACCTCAGTCATGCATGTTTGCTACGCCGCATGTCCTCAATGAGTGTATTGTGAGTGGAGATGTTCCACTTTGTCTTGGTTTTACTTGGCCAGTCATGTTTGCTATCTGGGGCTTGGGTTTCACCCCTTGTAGGTCATAGTCATCAGCTCTTCCACATGTGCGGCATCATCGGTACCTACGTCCAGATGGAGGCCATTCTGCTGGACATGTCACTGCGGCAGCCCTGGCTCCAAGTCCACGGGCTGCCCACCAGCTTCAACAACAGCTTTGGTGCGCTGCTGCTGTCCCTGACGCTCAGCCTTCTCATCATCTTCTCCTTCAGCCAAGCACTCTTCTGGATGCCCAGCAAGTCCTGTCCTACAGCTATCAGGGATTGCAGTAAGCCATCCCCACACCAGGACTAAACCTTTGGACCAAAACTTCCTGGTCTAGGCTATATGTGTGTGATACAGATTGAGAAGGAAGGAATTTAAAATTCCCCAAGACAATATGCTCCACATCGCAAACCATGTTCGCGGCTAAGCACCAGCCAAGAGGTCCTCAGACTCAAGCACAAACTGAAGGGAGGCACCGTAACGAGGAGCATGATAATCAAGCGGATTATCCATTGCCATAGCAGTGCTGGGTCAGGGTCTGTGCTGTCATGCTCTACACAGAAGAAACCTAGACTGCAGAGATTGGATACCAAGGGTTTCCACACGGAGCCCCACATGCAAACTGTCATAAAGCATAGAGGCAACCAAAGACAAAGGACAACACTATACATTTTATATAGCATTTGCCAGACTCTATACAGGAATCAAAATGTAAAGGACTTAAATGCAAGTTCTATGCATTTAAATACACCATATAGTTCTTATAAGACTTTGACTGTTTTAGATAAAGCCTATTTTTTTAATTAAAAAAAATACCCAAGCAAGGTCAGCATTATGCTAAAATAACTGACCTAGGTACAAGTGTTATGCTTCTCTGACATGTTGTGTTTTTGAGTAATTACTGAGACAAAAAAATTATACACAGTTGTATTATATTACATAGATATATTTGTAACAAGTTCACTGTTTAAACTATATTATTTCAGTTATAGATTTTACCAGCAAGGTATTTTTCAATACAGTGGAGTGTAGAACAAGCAGTTCAGCATTATGCTGTCATCTTACTTCCTTATAATACGCCATTCGAGTCACATTGATCCCTTGCTTTGCCCATAATCTTGTCCATAGGATGATGTATAATGAAAAGCGCAGCTGTTTGTTTATAGACCAGAGACCTTCAGAGCCATAAGCAGCACACCATGCTGTGACTGACCCTTTCAGGCTGGGTGACACAGAACATGTGTCTCGTCTCTAAAGTCTTACTGATTAAGTAATGTCTGTATTTTCTAATGTAACCATTAATGAAAGAACTGACATAAAGTGCCATATTTGTTTTTTTTCTTTTAAAGAATGTGCAGTGCACTGAAAGAACAATTTAACATTGACATTATGATTGTAATACAGACAGGCAGCTTTCTGTGGAATTCCTGTCTTTTATGTGTTTTAAAGAAGCAGGAATACCACTCAGTTTAAAGCTATACATTTCTTGTGTAATACTTGTGGTTTTTTTGGTTGCAGAATTTGTATTTCGGATCTTTTTAAATATTGAATTACATTTTGATCTTGTCTCACTGGTTTAGGATAAAGGTAATTTATTAAATCACTAGTTAAATTTAAATCACACTGAGGGACAATTTAGGTTTAGGTTCCCAGGAAATAGACACACTACTGTATTGTGTTTGAGTAATCGCAGAAGAGGTGGAAATACACACCATTTTCTGGTGAAGTTAAATCGTATATACGTTACTTTAGAAGGACAAGGATGATTCTCTAGAGGAGAAATTGTTCTAAGCTATTGTTTTAGCTGCTGAATTTCACTGGTGCTTCTGGTACAGGGAATTGGTCAGCTTTTAGCGGGCAGGCTTACGATCAGCATTGGGCCTTTCGGAGGCCAGCAGGAGGCCTGCCTTTCTTTGAGAGATCTGATTTATACTTATTATTGCACTCATTCAGAAATAATGTTTTAATCCCTTTTATAATTGATGATGGTTGATTTCTTTGTTTTTTGCATTTGATGTATGTATTTTTTTACTTCAAATGGTAAAACCTTACAGGACAAACTACTGGCAACTGATTCTCTTATGAACGACTGTATGGGAAATACATCGTGTATTGTTTATCGAAGCTTAGTTGCAACTCACGTTAGTTCTTGAAAAGAACAATGCACTATTGCTCACAACTCAGCTGACACTCAGGTTTTTCTTTAATGCAGATATCTACTTTACATGTGGTCTGTTGCAATTAATAAAGCAAACCGTTTATTTGTAATTGTGTTTTTGCTTTTTTAATCAATGGTGTAAGTGGTCTTTGTTTTTATTTACTAAACAAGTTGGTGGGCTGGTTGGTTGGTCTGTCTGTGGGCTGTTGAGTCTGTACCAGGTTTAATGTTCAGGGAGCAGGTGCTTTTACTCAGCCGAAGACTGTATCATGGTATGATTCACCACAAGCCTCATTTTAGTCCACCATTAAATTAGTTTTAGTCTACCTGTTAGAGATGTGTTGTGGTGTTTGTCAGTTTTCACTAAATGGAATTAATGTTTTTTTTTATGTACAACTGCGCAGGATAAATTACTGCATTGTTTTTTTTCCCTCAAAGTGAAAGTCACTCGAGGCTTCTTGAAAATGTAATAAGAGGTACAAAATGTCAAAGTAGAAAAGAAAATAGGGACATTTTGATTAGATGCCTTTCTGTCTTTAGGATTGCTGTTTTTCTTCTTCAAAGCTTCATAATAATGTCACAATATACAATATAATATAATTGATTAAAAGTTAATATAATAATTTTAAAAATGAAGTATTTTATTTTAAGTCTTGCTCCACACATTTATATAAATTTTTATTTGTCAACATGCCCCAAAATATCAATTTCTATAATAGTTTCTAATGAAAATTGTAGACAAAGTCAAGATTTACTTCACTAATAGTTATGCTGTATTAACCGTGTGCTTCGGGGTGTGGCCATCTAGTGGTAATATACGCACATTACAACTTTCTTAAAAGCCAGCTTACTGGCTAGATACTTAGTAGTTGTGGCCAACTTGCGTGATTAATGACATTCGATTTAAAATGAATGAAAGGTATGTTTTACTGACTTATACAAAGGGCAAGTTTTAAACTGGCTGCTCACAATAAATTACCGCTGTACGAAAATCCTGGATAGATTACATCGCAATTCCCTTGTTTCATTCTCCATTCTCTGTGCTGAATTACTACATAATTCAGTTATTTGCCAAACCAGAGACTACTGCAGCCGTTTAAAAATGTATGTGTTTTTTTAAAAAAAACATTACATGAATTTGCATCTTATTTTTGGGCCATGTATTTCTCATTCGATCTTTGTTCACGTAACCACCTAAGAAATGCCAATCACTGTATAACAACATAAATAACACAAATATGTGCTATTTTTCAAATTTACCATTTAAATTGCATTATTGAAATATATTTATTTTTTATTTGAATTAGATTTTAGTCGGCTAACAATAATTAAAAATTTCAGAAATTGACGTTACGTAGCTCCAGGGACATGGAATGTCACCTCTCTGATGGGGACGGAGCCTGAGCTGGTGCGCGAGGTTGTGACGTTCCGACTAGATATAGTCGTGCTCACCTCAACGCATGGCTTGGGCTCTGGAACCAGTCTCCTTGAGGGGGGTTGGACCCTCTTCCACTCTGGAGTTGCTCGCGGGGAGAGGCACTGAGAAGGGGTTGGCATACTTATGGCCCCCTGGCTAGGTGCCTGTACATTGGGGTTTACCGTAGTAGACGAGAGGGTAGCCTCCGTTCGACTTCGGGTGGGGGGACTGTTGTTTGTGCTTATGCGCCAAGCGGCAGTTCAGAATACCCACCCTTTTTGGAGTCCTTGGAAGGGGTGTTGGAGAGCACTCCCCCTGGGGACTCTCTTGTTCTGCTGGGGGACTTCAATGCTCACGTGGGCAATGACAGTGAGACCTGGAGTGGCGGGATTGGGAGGAAAGGCCCCCCCGATCTGAACCTGAGCTGTGTTTTGTTATTGGACTTCTGTGCTCGTCACGGATTGTCCATAATGAACACCACGTTCAAGCATAAGGGTGTCCATATGTGCACTTGGCACCAGGACACCCTAGGCCACAGTTCGATGATGGACTTTATAGATGGACTTTATAGTGACTTGCAGCCACATGTCTTGGACACTCGGGTGAAGAGAGGGGCGGGGCTGTCAACTGATCACCACCTGGTGGTGGGTTGGCTCCGCTGGTGGGGGAGGAAGCCGGCCAGGCCTGGCAGGCCCAAGTGAATAGTGAGGGTCTTCTGGGAACATCTGGAGGAATCCTCTGTCAGGAGGAGCTTCAACACCTATCTCCAGCAGAACTTCTCACATGTCCCGGGGGAGGCGGGGGACATTGAGTCCGAATGGGCCATGTTCCGCGCCTCCATTGTGGAGGCGACTGACTGGAGCTGTGGCCGTAAGGTGGTTGGTGCCTGTCGTGGCGGCAATCTCTGAACCTACTGGTGGAAACGGGTAGTGAGGGATGCCGTCAAGTCGAAGAAGGAGTCCTATTGGGCCTTTTTGGCCATTGGGACTCCAGAAGCAACTGACAGGTATCGGCGGGCCAAGCGGAACGCAGCTTCGGTGGTCGCTGAGGCAAAAACTCGGGTATGGGAGGAGTTTGGGGAGGTCATGGAGAACGACCTCCCTGGTGAGGTGTTCTGGACATGTCCCACTGGGAGGAGGCCCCGGGGAAGACCCAGGACACGCTGGAGGGACTATGTCTCTCAGCTGGCCTGGGAACGCCTTGGGATTCCCCCAGAGGAGCTGGATGAAGTGGCCGGGGAGAGGGAAGTCTGGGTTTCCCTGCAGAGACTGCTGCCCCCGCAACCCGACCTCGGATAAGCAGAACATAATGGATGGATGGATGGATGGACGTTACGTAGAAACAAACGTGTTAATTAACTAGACCTATGTTAATGAACGATTGTTTTCTTTTCGAGACAATCCTTCAACTGAATATTACGATTCGTTCAGCTCGTTCAAGGAGTCAACTGGACCATGCTCGTCAAGACCGAGACACCCTCTCGTTTGCCACCTTCCAGTGTAATGATGTATGGACGTTTGAAAGAGTCAGTATGGACGGCATAACGCTAAGCACTGTATAGTACATAATTAAAAATGAAATCTGTATAATGAATAAACAACATTTATAAACATTCAATTAATGGAGCATAAAATAAATGAAATGCAAAATACCAAAAAGGGACGTTTCAGAATCGAACGAATCTAAATAAATCTTTAAATTGAACGGACTCAAAAGAACTGATTTAGTCAAAGCAATCCTTATTTCAATTTCTATCGCACTGTACATGAGCAAGATATTTTTGACAGACTACGGAAATGCGTAAGTGTAAGTGGGCTGGATTTCCGGTGGTCAGCTCGACTGCTGATTGGTGCGATTTGAAAAAGCCGTTGTCTGGGAGGAGGAGGGAAATTTCGAATTAAGACGAATTCAGAAAAGGACGGTGACTGGAGCGTGCCAAGCGAGAAGTACAAAAACGGCAAAAATGATCCGGCCTGTGTGAGTGTATAAAGTTTACTTATTTAATTACAGTGCATTACTTACCTGTGGGTATCTTTGCATATAATATGAAGCCCCGCAGCATGAACCGGTGGTCTTTTTTCGTGCTTTGTCTGTTTACTGTCTTGCCGTTTGTATTTGAAACTTATTGATGTCGGTGCTGTTTAAGCACCTTGCCAGTAATGTCAGGATATGCATCGTCGTGCTAAAGATGTTTTGTGTCTTCATTATTTATGTCATTCAGCTGTAAACGTATTCCAAAGTATAAACAACTTTTGGTATTCGTTAGTTAGCCGAAGCTCACGATGTTACGACAATGGCGTCATTAGACTTACTGGTACATTAGTATGTGCGGTGGGGCCTTATTCGTGGGATTTAGCTACAATATCTATTTCATATTTCTGCAGAATATCTGAAGTCGCTTTGAAATGAAACATCCAAATCATGTGCTTGTACAGTACTTGAAACTAGTTTTGAAACGAGCTACCCGATTGGCTAATTAAAGCAGCCTGCGGACGTTGTAAAACATATTAGGTCATAGATAACGCTTTGCAGTACGGGGTGGTATCCAGTACTGTTTAAGATGATGGTTTGATCCTCTTCCCAAATTATTTTGTACGCAGGAAAGGTAAAACTCCGCGGAGACCTGTCCCAAAGAAACCATCCAGCAACCAAAAAGATCCTGTTGGTGTGAGTAAATGACCCTGCGCTGTAGTACATTTACTATTAATTTTTTCTAATAACACTAATTGCTGTGTGGTGATAGTGTGAATGTAACCAAATCACCTAAATCATATTAGGAAATGTCACTTCATAATGTTTAATGTCAACCTACAAAAAACGTCAGTTGTGTTGTCAAAAACTTCCTTGTTATCCCATTTCTTTCTGTACTTGATTATTGAATGTGTCTGCATGTTCTGCTTTGTGGGCATGTGGTCCAGGTGTACTGCCGTGTGCGCCCACCTGCCACTGAGGATGAGGAGTGCTGTATCGAGGTGATCAGCAGTACCACCATTCAGCTGCATCCTCCAGATGGCATCAAAGCCAACAGGAATGGCGAGTTCAAAGAGGTATGCCTGCATGTTATTTACAGTCATCAGCATGTGCTTTCATGTTTAATTTGATTTACTGCTATTTTAAGCCTCTGAGTTTTGTTCTCTGGCTCTCTATAGACACAGTATTCTTTCAAGAGAGTGTTTGGAATTAAGACTTCGCAGGTCGAGCTGTTTAATGATGTGGCAAAGCCACTTGTGGAAGACCTGATTCATGGTAAAAATGGTAAGAAAGGCTTTGATCTTCCTCAATATGTGAAACATTCAGAGCTCTTTGGAGCTCAAAATCTACTCTTGAATGTTGATTTTAGTGTGTGTGTTCTAGGTTTACTATTCACATATGGTGTCACTGGTAGTGGCAAAACTTTTACCATGACTGGATCTCCTGGACAAGGTGGCCTCCTTCCTCGCTCTCTGGACATGATCTTTAACAGCATAGGCCCATACCAAGCTAAACGATTTGTGAGTGAACCTTCTTTGAAATGGCTCAATTAGTCGACCATACTGGATATCTGACATAATCTGCATTTTAGGTGTTTAAAACTGATGATAAGAATGGCATGGAGATCCAAAATCAAGTTGATGCCTTATTAGAGAGGCAGAAAAGGGAAAGCCAGCAGTCATTATTGAAAACTCCATCTTCCAAGTAAGTAAATTAATCAGTCTTCTTCACGAGAATGGTCTGCTTCACAGTATTGCTGGTTTAAGGCTGTGTATATATGAACATAAAGGTCTGGTAGTATGTAGGTAAGATCCATTCATTTGTCATCTTCGCACTTACAATGGTACAGCTAAGAGATCAGAACAGTAGCATTTCCTAGACACAAAAACCAAGAGTAGAGTGTCGGTCCTCACAAGGTGCTTGTTTAACAAACCAAGAAAGTTGTAGCTTTAGGTTTTTCCTTTCCATGAAACCCAAAGTGGAATTTATTTCTTTGGATCTATTTCAGGCAAAGACTCGACCCAGAGTTTGCTGACATGATCAATCCAGGGGAAGCTTGCAAAGCGGAAGGAGTGGACGAGGACAGCAGCTACAGTGTCTTCGTTTCCTATGTAGAAATATATAACAACTACATTTATGATCTTCTGGAAGAAGCGACAATAGACCTAATTAAACCAAAGTAAGTTTCTAATGTACTTTTCAGATTTGAAGCTGTTGCCTGTATACACCCTTGACACCATGTTATCGGCACACTGGTGCATAATTAGTCTTGGTGTTGGTCTAGCTTTCAGATGAAAATGTCTCTTCCTTCATTAGGTGGAACGGTGGAGGCACACCTCTGCGGAACACTGAGTTCATGTATGTGGCCAGTGTATATGCTTTCCACATATGCTTAGGTTGCCGTCATTTCTGAATGTTCCTCTTTGTCGTCTCATGGAAAAAATAACAGTGCTCTTAACTCTGGTTGATGCTTGTGCTTTTTCCAGTGTTATACGTTCTCTTCATTTAGAGCTTGATCCCCTTTGTGCCGCTGTGGTTTGGCGCTTAACCTTTGCTTGCTAGCTTGAGGAGCTATGATGATTTATGATGCTGGTCAACTTCTCGTAATAGCTAGTTTGTGGGTAATCAGAATTAACTTTTTTTTATTATTATTATTGTAGACCGCCTCAGTCTAAAATTCTGCGAGAAGATCAGAATCACAATATGTATGTTGCTGGATGTACAGAAGTTGAAGTAAAGTCCACAGAAGAAGCCTTTGAGGTTTTCTGGAGAGGTATGTTTTAGTTTTGGACGCTTAAAATAGTTTGTGCTCTGAATTAGCGAGTTGACCTTGGCTCATTTTGCAGGTCAAAAGAGACGCAGGATTGCAAACACCCAGCTGAATCGGGAGTCCAGCCGCTCACATAGTGTGTTCATCATCAAACTGGCCCAGGCACCTTTGGATGCGGATGGTGACAATGTTCTTCAGGTACATCATGCCCCGCACCCGGTCTGTTGGCTGAGCTTGTGTGGAAATGAGGGTTCCCCTCCCCCCACTGTTTATTTTATTTTGAATAAGGTATATTTCAGTGTTGAGCTTCTTACAAATGCTGTCGTTCCACTAAAGGACAAGAACCAGGTGACTGTGAGCCAGCTGTGCTTGGTAGACCTGGCTGGGAGTGAGCGAACCAGCAGGACTCGGGCTGAGGGGAACCGGCTGCGAGAAGCAGGTGACGCTGGAGTCGATGGGATGATGATGTCATTTACCTTGGGGAACCCTCACTCATTTGCTAACTTCAACCTTACAGGCAACATCAATCAGTCTTTGATGACACTGCGTACGTGTATCGAGGTTCTTCGTGAGAACCAAATGTGTGGAACAAACAAGGTTGGTATTGGGTTTGTTTGGGAAATGCAAGCAATCTTCACTTAGATTGATTACAGCTAATGTATGGATGACAACCCTGAAAGCTGTTCCTTCCTCTTTAGATGGTGCCATACCGAGATTCTAAAGTGACACATCTATTTAAAAACTATTTTGATGGAGAAGGAAAGGTTAGGATGATAGTTTGTGTCAACCCCAAAGCTGATGATTATGAAGAAACTTTGGTAAGTCACTTATGCAAGTCTATATTCTGTGTTCATGGTTGTGGAATTCACACTTGATTCTGTAGATCCACATAAAGTACATCAGTGCAAAATAGTGCAAGAATAGGGCAAAAAAAGACACTGGTACATACGTGGATGGGTGGTTGTGTAGGACCACCAGTGACTGTGTGCATGCTTTTTCATAGCTGTTCTATTGATTTATACAGGCACTGACTGCATACTGTCCCATTGTGTTTATCAGGCATTAGTTTGGCCTGGTTGTGCTCTGCTGAACATTCATGGTGCAGTGGAATGCCACTTAGTTTGACTGAGTACTGGGTAGCATTTGTGCATGTAGTTGCAGTTTTGCCATTTTCCCAAGTGTTAAAGGTGTGTCTGTGTCCTGTGCAGCTCGTAATGCGGTTTGCAGAAATGACACAGGAAGTGGAGGTGGCGCGGCCAGTGGACAGGCCAATTTGTGGCTTTACTGCCGGGCGTCGGCAAAGAAATCAGGCCTTTAAAGAAGAGCTGTCTCGGCGTCTGGAAGAACGTGGGGGACCCATTAATGCAGGTAACTTCTACGCTTCAAAATGGAGGCCAGCAGAAAGTGAACGGTGCTATTGAAAGGAGGGTGACGCTGGTGGTTTGCTTGAAGGTTTTCCATGGTATTCACCCCCAGATGGTGCTTCAGTCATTATCCAGCTTCTGCAAAGCTTCCCACCGCTGCCCCCCAGCGAGATTACAGATCCCTCTGATGACCAAACCTTGCCCAGGCTCATTGAGGTGTTGGAGAAGAGGCACAGGATCCGCCAGATGATCACAGAGGAGTTTAATAAAACCGGTAAGAAATCTTAAGTGGCCCAGGTTAATAATAATTTTTAGTATGTCTTAGGTGTAATATGGTTGCACCCATATCTAGTGTTAGACAATTGGTAAGAATGTCGAATTGTGTTTTTTGGTTAGAATCACGGCGCATCGCCTGCTGGCTGGCCATGGTTCTACCTAAAAGTACGATGAGAACCAACCAAATCTGAATGCATGTAGTAGCGTTAATTGACCACTTCACCAGGAATTCTGTCCTTGCATTTTAATCAACTTAATGATTAAGATATGTGAAATACTGTATGTATAAAAGGAACTGACTCTGTACATCAAAGTGCTTTAAAGTTTTGTTTTGTTTTTTTACCCTTTAACACTGTTGTACTGTTACATCCCCTGAACACTCAAGCATCATGTAATAGGGGCTTCCCGGTTTGTCCTGTCATTATAATAATAGTGTTAAGTAGTATGGGGCCACAGTTGTTGCTCTGAAATGCTTATCTTGGTTACAGTTGCAACCAGTCATGATAAATCATCATATCACCAGCCGCTACCCTAAATCAGCGCTTAAAAGTTAGACTGAATCTCTTGTGTTCTTTTTCCTAGCCAACATGATGAAATCAAAGCTCCAGGAGTTTGATGGCAACCTTTCAGCCAAGGAGAACTTAATTCATGATCAGCGAGGGAAGCTGGGAGAGAAGGACAAAGTCATCCTGAACCAAAAGACCGAAATAGATCGTTTAGAAAAGAAATCAAAAATGCTGGAATACAAGGTAAAACCCAGACTGGTGCTTGGAATTCCCTAATTCCTAGTTTTCTCACAGGGCTAGTTTCTATCTGATATTCTTGTATGTAGATCGACATTTTGCAGAAAACCACAAACATCTACGAGGAGGATAAGCGCTCCTTGCAGCATGAGTTGGAGAACAGAGAGCACAAGCTGCAGAGAGAGCTGTCTGAGAAGAAGCGGATGGAGGTTCGCATGCAGGGCATGGTGACGGACGTCAAGCTGAAGTGGGAGAAGGAGTGTGTAAGTGTTCAGGCCGGCCGCGCACCTAAAAAGCTACTCTGAGCGTATTTGTGAGTATTCAGCAAGCTGGAGCCTCTGTCCTGCCCATATGGCACCCAGGAGAGGCGCGTCAATGCCAAACAGCTGGAGATGCAGAACAAGCTGTGGGTGAAGGATGAGAAGCTCAAACAGCTGAAGGCCATCGTGACGGAGAACAAAGCAGAACAGCCAGGCAAACCCCAGCGGCCGTCCCGGGAGAAGGACCGCGTGGCCCCCAAACGCTCGGCCTCCCCCTCCCCAGCACCAGTAGGTCACACTTACACTCCTCCATTCTCATCTTATGGGTGCTTTGGGCTCATCACTCTGTTTCTAATTTACCTGTGAACTTGGCAGTGTTTGGGCATTTTAATGTAAAAAAAATGTAGTTTTCTTAGATTCATTGTAGCCAGTGAGCAAACTTGTGAGATATCATGGCAAATACGAAACTGCAGTTTGTCAACTATTTGAGTGACTTGCCTGCTACAAGGTAGGGCTGGGTGATGTGCAGTAAACGATATCACAGTATTTTGAATATTCTAATAGTGTCATATGTAGCCAGCAGTAACATATGATAGGTAGTTTTGAGTGTTTCTGACTAAATTGCTTTACTGAGGTATGAGGCATGCAGCTATAATGATGAATTATGCCAACAAGACTCATACCTTGATGGAATTTGTGTACAAATAGTGCATCATTACTGTGAATTAGGCAAGAAAACATGTTTTTATGCTATATCACGATACGATATCCATACTGATGATGATATGAATGTTCACATATGAATAATCGCAATGTAATATTTTACTGGTACCACCCAGCCCTACTACAAGGTCATACACTTGGCAGCAAGCTGTTTAGCTTAGTTGTGGCAGTTGGATCATTTACACGAATACCAAGCGTTGTACACAGGACAGGGGAAAGACGTCTCTCCTTTAGTTCAGATTAATGGAATTTGCTCTTTGAGGTCCTCGGGCTGCACATTTCACCAGCTGTATACTAACTTGTGGTCTCTGCAGTCTCCCCTTTATCTTGCCCAGCATGGCCTCCTCAGCCGCCCCCAGGTCAGGCAAGAACCCAGCCCCCCCTCTTCCAGCAGTGTTTCTGTAGCTTCTGCTGTCTCGGAGTGGGAGCAGCGAGACCCCCAAAGCACCAGGCAGGCTAGTCTGTCTCCCCCCAGCTGTAGGAATAGGCTACAGGAGCCAGGCAGGGTTAGGACCCCCAACCAACTCGTCAGGAGGAGGGGCAGGTGCTGGACTGACAGCGAAGTCCCTGTCCAGCCGAGTGATGTAGACTTTGAGGATTTGGGTCAAAGGGTTAGTGCCTCCGTTCTCTAGTTGTTATAGGTAGATTTTTCGGGTTAGAATTAGCCTGTTTATTTACTATGCATTAGCTTTCTGTGGCTGAGTTTTAGGAACTGAAACTAACTTTCCATCTTCACTCTGCAAATCTTTCGATCAGCACTTAGTTCAGGTTTTTGCTGATTCCCACCCCCACCAAGCACAGATGAATTAGTAAGTAAATGGATAGTGGAGAGTGCTAAAGCGGATGCATGACTCTAACATGGTCCAGAAAGGGACCACCTTCCATCAAATATTGCTCCTCGCATTGGGTGGTTTCCTGACAGCCTATCGCAGAATGAAGATGGTTATTCTGTCAAATTGGCAAAATGCTCACCAGTTGATGTGTATATTTTGTTCATTGCAAGATTGACATACTGTCATAAGTGTGGTTTCTTTCTAATTCAGTTTTATGTACTTTGTTGATCTAAAACAAGTAATTGTAGGTAATAGTCACTGATTCATACTAGAGAGTTAGATATGAAATGTAAGTCACATTGATTATGCTTTGGCTGTTCCTGATTTCTTGTCTCCTTTCTGTGTTGTGATTTAAAATCTGCATGGCATGACGTGTACTGTAGTGTTAGTTTTTAGCTGATCCCCCCCCAATCTACACATGGTGCTGCATTGATGAATTTTCTCTAACGCATTATGCTAGTTCAATTCCCCACTATGGCTCTGTCACTTAAAATTCAACATGCATTGTAGAGAAAGCAAATTCTAAACTTGATGAAGGCAAACATTCTTGATAAGTCCTGCCCTTGAAGGTGTCAGGAAGTGTTTAGGCTGAATCAAAGGCAGATGTCTGAAATTCCTTTAACTGAAGCCGGCTTTGAGGTCTTAGGCCCCAAATCATAACGTAGTTGGTTCTAGATATGAATCTGCTGAGGGCTTTAAAAGTGATTTTGGCTGATTGTGTATCCAGTGACTGTGATATTTGCATCTGTAATTTGTATGAAAGTTGGCAAAGCCTTAAAGCGTGAACCTAGTGATCAGCGACAGCTGGCCCCGAAAGGCCACACGTGTGGATGTGAGTCTCTGCCCAGTAGCATCCTGTGGCTGGATCTATGCATGCTATTGTAACGCGAAGTAAACTTCCAAGTCGCCTCCTGCATTTCCTGTTACTGACAACCTACAAGAAATTTATGATTATATATGTTTTATAGTTTTGCCAACAATTTGTACAACTTACATTTGTATGACGCCATAAGTCATCTAATTGGTGGAATGTAATGGTGACACCCCCTCTCCCCCCTGTTTTTAAAATCACCATTTTTTTTTTTTGCTTTACTCTCTTAATTGAATAGACTGGGCCCCCGGTTCGCCCCCTGCACAGACGCTCACACTCGGCAGGTGGGGAGAGATGGGTAGATCACAAACCATCCACTAATTTGGAATTAGACACTGTTATGCAGCCGAATTTACCCAATGCAATCAAGGTGTCTGCACCCAGCGAGAGAGCTTTGTCTAAATGCGACAAGTATGTCCTGACTCATCAGGAGATTGCATCTGACGGAGAGATTCAGACCAAACTTATCAAGGTAATGGTTCTTCTTGAAATAGAGTGCTGCCAATTATCTGGGGCTTGTCTTGCTTCTGCTCTTCTGTCTGAAATGGAGGTCTCTGCGTTGGGGGGGGGGGGGGGGGGGGGGGGGGGGGGGGGGGGGGTGGTTACTCTGTTGATCATCCTGGTGCTGTCTTGAGCAGTGGACGATTAAGTGCTCCTCCTGCATGTTTCTGTCCTGCAGGGAGAAGTGTTTAAAACCAGAGGAGGCGGCCAAGCAGTTCAGTTCACAGATATTGAGACTCTGAAGCAGGAGTTGCCTGTGGCTCCCAGGTCTGTATCTCCTCCTCCACTTTCATTGGAGCAGATTAGCCCAATAAATGCATTTTAAAATGAAGTTAGGGTTTCAGGGTCTTTTGCAGTGTAACCTAAGCCTCAATGATTTATTGTAAAATGGGTGAGTCAAACAGCTTTTTTCTTCTATCCCCCCCACCCCCAAGTCGCAAGAGGAGATCATCTGGAAATGACCCCCCGAAGGATGCAGCCATGGACGGTGACTGGACTGACGTGGAGACTAGAGTAAGCAGCTTTGCATTCCATGCCGCCTCGTGTTTTTCTCCAGGCTATTTCAGGTGCTGGACAGCTGCTAGGTGTGTTGAAGGTGTGGTTAAAGCTGATTCCAGAGGCATCCTGTGACACCCTGGATCTCATCCAGCACTGGAAGTGTAATGAATAGTAGCGTAATTGTTTGCCGCACACACAGGAGGGTGGGGCGAACCTGGGCCCTCAGGCCTAACCCAGCCCATGTTCCAGTCTCAACTGGCCCTTCTCATTCTTCAAGAAACGTTTTCCCACCTTGTTTGTATGGTGATAGGTTTCATATCCATTCGTTATTACAGTTATACAGGCTTATGCTTCTATTATTATGGATGGAAAAAGTTTTCCTGACTAGACTCAGGTGTAAATGAACATGCAAAAAACATGACTAGTGATTGGAGACCTGAATGACAACCGGGGGGGGGGGGAGCTCACAAATCAGCTCTTGTGAGTCCAACCACCTTGTTTCTCCAAACAAAGTGTTGACTTTACAACAATTGGACATCAGAGGATGGAAATCTTTGAAATCCAATGGGCTACATTCTCTGTCGCAAACAATGGAAGAACTCATTTCAGATGACAGACGTGGCCTGCAGCAGATTGTGGGGAAAGATCATGACTTGCATATGTGAAGCTGGAGGTCTGATGGACTTATCATTCCTTTTGAGAGAATGACATGAATGTTCCCCATGGCCTTCAAGGAAAAGAGCTGGAATGCGTTTTTGACGTGTGACCTGTTTGTTAGTGTGATTATGGATGGGATTCAGTCATGGAGGAGGAATCTGAGGAAAGTAGTCAAAATTGGAGCCAAAATATAAAATGGATTAAAGTCAGGTGAAGTAGAAATTGCAAAAAGAGCATCTAAAATCAGAAAGAATAATTAATAATAATAATAAAATACAATGATGCATTCAATGACACCGTACAATGAATTCAAAAGAACGATATAAATAATAAAACCATAATACAAAATATACAAGAATATAAAACATAGGTTAATTCTGTTAACTTGGGTGATGACAGGACATATGGGAAATTGGACTGGAAACGATCGACTGTAGACTGAAAATTGGTGAATCCTCAGCAGCCTTTGATATCTCGTGTGTAGGGGGGAAATAGGATTTCACAATGAATCGTTTTTGGATGCACACCCCAATGCAACCTTTCATACATGACATGGATTCTGCTGTTTGTTTGCATAAGCGGGGCGATGTCGCACCAAACCTTGTGCTTCTGTAAGCTGTATCGACACATGAGGACTCTTACACCACGTGGTCACAGGGGGGGCACCGCTAGTCTTACAGTGAAGAGCAAATGCTTCTTGTATTTGTAAAGGAGGTCTGTTAACCAGCAGTGTGCCCTTTCCAGGTTCCGAAGTTGGTGTCACTGTCCCATTTGCTACGATTATAATTTTTAAAATGATTTTTATTTTATTGTTCAGTGACCATCATTGTTATACCGATGCGGAAATTGACTGATGCAGATAACTGATGTATTTTTGAATAATATTGCCTAACTTTGAATATTGGTGATGTTTTAAATACTGGCTGAGATTGACACGTCAGATGGATAATAGTACATTATGTAATAACTCAACAAAGTGATACAAATGTATAGACATAATTTTATGTTGCAATATAAACGAGGTGTATGTGTATTTTTGTCCTTGGATCATTGAATAACAAAGGATCCACCGGCTGAGAAATCGGTTGCAGGCTTTCACTTGATTGGCTGCTCTGGTGACCATGTAGACGGTACACCTGTAAGCGGCTGACACATACTCGGTTAGATCAGGTTTTTAGAGGTTTATGTGAAGTATGACTAAGCTTGGTTTTTCCTGACCATCTTCTTTCCAAACACCCAGTTTAAAAGCAAGGTGGAGGAGTGTCTGGACAGAATCTAAAAATAAATGATATTTGCCTTGAGGGTCAGAACCCAGGAACATTGTTTAAAACCGTTAGTCGCAGCAAACAGTCTGGAGACTTGGCTGCTGTGGGTGTATTTAAATTGCAGAGAGTGATATTTGTACAGATAAAGTACAGGCACATTTCTTTGCATTGGGTGAAAGTACAAACCAAGGGCGTTGCTCACCTTCAATTTTGCTACCTACTAATGCAGGTGGGGATGTTCAGCAGCTGTGTTCCTCCAACGTTCTTTAGTGTGGGGAAATTTTTAACAGAATTTGAGACATTGGTTCATGTAACCTGTCAAAACTGGTGATCGCTAAATACCTATGCACCAGTGACAAGTGTGCCCCCCTAATCCAGTTTATAAATGAACAGGGCTTTTGAGCAATGTTCTCCCAGAGGTGTGGTGCTTCTGTAATAATGCTTTTTGGGTGTTCTCTTCCTGCATAGTGCTCGGTGGCTGTGGAGATGAGGGCCGGCTCCCAAATGGGACCTGGCTATCAGCATCATGGATATCAGAAGTAAGATCCTCACTCACTGATTTCTGAATCGCTGAATAATGTTAATTTTTCTCTTGGATGTCATTAGGTGGGGGAACAAACTTTACAAATGATTTTAATTTGTTCCCACAGACGCAGAAAACCTTGAAGAGCATATTCACTACAATCGTGGAACCAAGTGCCACTTTCTATTTAATCCTCACATTGCTTGTGCAATAAATGTTTTTTGTGTGATGGAGTTGGTTGTACATATACTTCCGAAACGGCAGCATAATGGAGGTCATTCATAAGGCCAGAGATGTAGATCCATCATGGTTTCCGGATGGCATAGCCGCCTCTGAGGGCGGTGGCGCTTTCTGGAATCTGATGCTTTAATGTACTACTTTGGTTTTTATAATTTCGGGGTAATGCCTGTAAAAGGGCACGTTTATGAAACGTTTCGCGACATTCACCCTCCTGGCCCTAACTATCCGCTCTTCGCTGTATACTATAGTGTATTTAGATATCTATGCAGTCACTTGCTATTATATGTATGTTAAATACATTTGTGTAAAATTACGTTTTCTGGCTTGTCTAAGCATATAAATCTGTATTCTCTCCCAGTCCATGTTTTACTATGATTAAATATATGAAAAACAATAAAAATGTTTGTATGAGGGCAGCTGCTTTGTCACTATGGTAAAGGGTGTGTTTCCCTCTTGAGAAATGGTGCATTGCACAACAGGTGCGCATATGATATAATTAGTGCTTTACATGGGTATGCCTTGAATGTACTCAAGGTGATTCCCAAGGCCCCCCCCCCCCCATTTTTGTTGATATTAGCATTTATTTTACACCCTCTTACTCATACATTAAACCTACATTTTACTCAAAAGCTATAATTTATGTTCATTAATGCAAGGGTTAAATACATCATCGCATAGTGTAATAGAGTTTAAACAGTAGGTGGCAGCCATGAGCTGCAAATCAGGTTCCACTATTGAAATAGCTTTTCCCCGATTTAACCTACCATATCTCATTAGGTCTTCAATGTTAACTGAGGATTCCGAATCAGAGCGTGTTTTTAATCCTATTTCAGGGCAGCAAAAGGCTAATGTTCAATGTGCAAATTATCCTTTGTGCAAATATATTTTCATTGTCAAACTATTCTGGGATGCGAAACGCAGCAAGTGCTGCAGTCGCACAAACATCATTGTGATTAGAAAAAAAATAACTATTCTCTAATTTAACTGAGCTAAAAGTAATACAGCTCTAAGGTTCAGCTCAGCATTTGTTCTAAGGCAAATTAACCTCTGAATTAAAAGCAGTGAGCCCCCACCCAGGGCTAAACTGAGACTGGTGTTGGTGTGATTTTTAAACGAGCCGGGTGATGACTCTCAGCCAGACTGCAGCTCCACTAGCTCAGGTTCCAGGACTGCCTGTGAAAATATTGACCTTCCTTTGGAGCCTTTGTTCTGTGTAAGCAGGCAGCCTTTGAGCGCTGTGAGAACAAACATCAGACAGGCCTGCAGCTTTCCGCGCATCCCCCTTTTGTGCGCGTTTGCTAATGGCTGCATTAATACCCTCTTACCTAGGTGCCGGTGTTTGCATAAGAGCATTGTGTTCTGCTGGCTTGCCAAACCACAATGATGAACACTGAGGACTGTTATTTTGACAGGGCTTGCGCATGCAAAGCAAACAGAAACGGAGCTGTTTCGAAGGCCACGACATTCCGTCTGAGGAGGAATTCACATGCTGCCGTGTCAGCTTTTGTTAGTATTATTTCTGCGCCATTGTTTCAGTTTTTTTCTTGTTTGTGTATGGCTCCTACCTGCGGGCTGGCTGAGTGACTGTTTAGCGAGGCGAGGGCAAGCCTGTCCTGCTGTCTGTCTGTCAGCAGCTATTCAGGAGGGGAGCCCTTGTTCAACAGCCCTGAACCAGTTCTGTCAGGGCTGAAGGTAATCAAGCTGCTTCTCCAGCAGCATGGAAAATGTGAAATCTGGCGTTTTTTTTTTTTTCTTTTTGCTTTGCTTATGCTCTCATATCCATTTCATATCAAACTGCTCTCATTCACCTGCGAGGTCTCACTACAGCAGTGCAGCTTCCTGGCTATAAATAGTCAATAGTAGGTTGTCATTCCTGACTATTTTTTCTCTTAGTTATTTCATTTTGCTGGTCAGATGTATATCCCTCTTTACATCTGGAGCTGTTCAGGTTCAGTACCTTACTCAAGGTTAATTTACTGTGTCCTCCCCTGGGACTTGAACCAATATACTTCAGGTTACAAAGTCTGCCTGAGACCACTGTAGGATACCTTTCACCTCCTGTTGAACTTTTAAACTGCCACTGTTTGTTGCCTATTGGCAGGGGCAGATTACTGCTCCGGCTGTGTGAGGCTATCGCCCAGGGCCCTGTCAAACATCAGGGCCCCGCCCCACCTGCAGAAAAATGGAACGGTAAGTTAAAAACGGCAAGTATCTGTGCAGATGTCAGCCTAGTGGCCCAGGTAAGTTAATCCACCCCTGCATATTGGTGACAATTGTGGTGTTTATGATTATTATTATTATTATTATTAATATTAAACTTTTTAATATTGTCATGTATTTTCCTGGATTCCTTTGGAGCAGATATACCGTTATCTACAGATCACGGGGATGCTGTGTTTCACTTACCTTGTGGTATTTGCTATTAGTCTTTGTTGGCTGAGTAAACTCCCCTAACAGGGCCCTCCCAGCACATTCTATGGTACAGTTTCTCATTGCTTTTCACTCCCTTCCCAGCTGCGCCTGGAAATCGGCCCCTTACAAGGCAGCGGCGTGCCCATTTCTCTCCAGTATGCATGAATGCAGGCATTGATCATTTTGCTGGGCGTTGAAAGGGAAGATAGGGTGGGTCACACAGCGCTCCCCCCGCATGACAGACATTCTCTTAAACCATTGTTGTAGAAAATGACAGGCTCTTCCACAGTCACCCCCCCCCCATCTGCCTTAATTACACAGAGAGTGTTTGCACAGCCGTCACAGTGTTTAAAGCACACAATGAGGTTTACAGGCTGTGTGAATCTGACTTGTTTTGCGTTTCCTCATTTTGAGTCTCAGTCACCTGTTGAAAGGACCCTAGAGACCTGAGAGTTTCCTCTAATTGAATGTCATCACATATCTTCTGGTTACGGTAGAGGGCCACACCAATCCACCCCCCCCCCAGGGGAGTGATGTAAATACTGGGAAAATGGAGGGGTTATTAATATCATAAAGGGACAATCAAAGAGGAAAGCCTGGGAGGATTATCTGCCGAATCTACCGTTGCGGGTAAATAAAGAAATAAAGCTCAAAATTCGGCTTAGTGTCACTCGACCGAGGTCAGCGATTCAGCTGAAGAAAAGGGAGGGTGATTGTGAAGGTGTGTGTGAGTAAAACTGTATGAACGGGGCCATGTCTGCAATTGAATTTGATGACTGTGTGTGTCTTTGTGTTTTTTTGTGGGAGTATTTTTTTTCTTGAAATTACCTCTGTGTGTAATATGCGGTTTTGCTTTGAGGGCGTGCAAGTCCCCATCAGGACAAACACAGAAAATCAAATCATTTACCGTGCAAGAGTGTTTCTGTTTTTTGTGAGTGACGACGACCAGGGGGGCGGGGGGGGACAGTAGCCCACTGTTAGCGTTGTGTTGCAGCTGCTGCGGTGGGTCACGCAGCCGTGGACACAGGGGGCCGTCGCAGGCGGGGCTGCGTGTGCGGTGTGAAAGACGCAATTGTGTCCACTTTGTGAGTGAACAAAACGATCCACTGAGAAAAAGCGCAAATATTGAGCCAGGGCCGAGGGCGGCAGACGCGGTGACCTGAGGGCTGCAGCCGGTGCGGGGCTGCTGTTTGCCAGCGTCAGACAGCCTGTTTGTCTAGGCCAAACTTCCTCCCTCCCCCCCCCCCCAATTTAAGCACACACATTAATAGTGCTATTAATGCCCTGCTGTTTGAAGTACTTCTGCACATTTAACATTGACTGCTATGTTTCACCTTGATGTAAAATTCTCCCTTAACACTCAGAACACAGATGCCAAACCTGTGTGTTTTGGGGGGGGGGAGGGGTGGTGGTGGTGGTGGCTTGTAAGTAGCTCAGTCAGATAAATTACGGGTCACACCAAATACTGCAGTTTAAGGTTATTTGTCTTCATGTTTACCGTCTCCCTATCCTGAAATGAAAATACTCAGAATGACCCTGTTCTGCTGGCAAGTCTCTCTGCAAGCAAAGTCCTGTGTCTGAAATAAAATGTCACTCTGGTAAACAAAGCTTTATTTATATATATTTTTACTGTCCTGACTGCACAGTGATCATCTCAGCCCTGGACAATGGTGCTTCCTTACCCAGGTCCAGATTGCTCAGGAAATTAAAGACAATAAGAGAATATCGGCTGATTTATTTAAGTTGATTTATTGTAATGAGAAAAACCTTGTGAGAGCTGTCCATACCATATTCCACAGGGCACACAGGACCTTACTAAGGTGTATGCATATGACTCTTACAGTGAATGGGCAAAAGATGATCTTTGTGCATCTGTGATTTGGTGTCATTCAGACTCATTAGAGAAAAAGGAAGATTTTCTTATACAGACATGTATAAAAACTTCTTTATAGCAGAAATACGTTTTATTTTTATTTTTTTCTTTTCAAACATGAAAGAGAATTTTTGTGAAAATTTTGATATATTCCTGTAATATAGAGTTTAAGGCACCAAAATAAAAGGCGAGTCCAAAGTAAAGATTTAAGGTAAACTTGGACTTAAGGTAAACCGTGTAAACGTGAAAGAAAATATTTTTGTCTTCTTAAATACTGTTTTGCCTGTTGGAGGTAAAGGGAATATTTAACATTGGCCTTTCGGTGGACCAGTGTTTACACAGAGACCGAAAGCGGCAATGAGGCAGACAACAAACGATGTAACCAGCGCTGCTTGGGGCTCATTCACCAGCCGCTCTGCCAGACTGCGGGTCAGTCATCTGCTTGCTCTCACTCACCTCCACTCACTCTTCTCACGCTAGTGAAGTGCTTTGGTGCTTTCCTTCACGGCTAGTGTGATCTTTCCGGCAGCCATGAGATGTCAGTGTAGCACAACGATGAGTTTCTATTTTTTTTAAGTCTTGGCTTTCCGTGTAATAGAAAACAGATGGGACCTTTGCTGTGGGCAGCCACAAAATGTAGCAAATTCTCATTACATAGTCTGCAGCTGACTCTGTTTATTTTCTTATAAGCCAGCTAAAGCTGGCTGTACCGTCACCACCACTTGTAATGACATACATTTGATGTTAGTCGTTACGCATAATTCTGTTTGCTGATTGCTGGATATTTAGTGTCTCTGCAGTAATGGGAAACAGATATCTTTTCCCCCCTCTGAGTAAATGATCTTGTTGTACAAACCCACATCCTTGTTATTTTAGCTGCTATTGTAGGGTTTTGGAGTAGAGGTTAGGTTTTTTTTTTAAGTCCATGAAAACATTGGGTTTTGGGGCTAACCAGAATGAGGCGCGCTGCCCAGCCGCGAGTCGCCCTTAGTCACGCCACAGGACGGCAGCGCGCTGCTGAGTGACGCGCTGAAACGGACACGCGCCGTTGTTCAGATCACCGCAACAAGGCGAACGTGACCGGCGTGACAAAGGCTTTGTCGGGTCTCACCGAAGGCGTGATCTGCAGTG